TATTTTTATATATAAAATTTTGGCTGTATTAAACCCTTGTAAGATTCACAATGCCATTGCCCTCCTGAGCCCTGAGGTTGCAGGCAAAGCAGTGCTTCAGAAGCACTCCTGCTAGATTTCGTGCTTATCCCTTCTGGAAATCCTAAAGCACCCTGAGCATCATCCAAGACCTGAGCATGCTGCCGAGGAGCCATGAGAACCGAACTCAGCAGCAGCTCTGGTCACCTGCGAAGCTGTCACGCTGTGGGTGTATTATTTTTCCCCAGCAGCTTCACTGCCCAGCCGATGCGGGAGTGCACATCTCTGCAGCCCCGAGGCAAGCTCGTCCCTCAAGCAGGGCTTTGCTGGGCTCTTCTCCAGCACTAAATATGGAAAATTCTGACAGTCAGTCCTGTCCATTTTCAAGCTATTCAGGATCTTTTAACTTTCAAAACAAAGATGAACAAAAAGCAGACTCTAGTTGGAAAAAAAAACCCCAAACAATGGGCATGCCAGGCCCCCGATGACGGTACCTGGCAGCTCCCGGCGCAGTAGAGCTCCCATCTCAGTGAGTTAGACCCCACCAAGTATCAGACAAACACTGACCTGCGGCTTTTAAAAAAGCTCTCTTTGGTTCTAATCTGGATAATTTGTATTAATTACCTTATGTGAACAATATCAGGGTGTATTCCTGCCTGCCACCTGCATTATGCCTGGCCTCTTCAGCTGTGAAATTCATGAAATTATGAAAGCATCACCTTTTTTCAGCTTTGTCTGAGGTCACCTTCTCATCTCTCTCCAGCTATTTTTCTCCACAAAACTTTATCAACAATCACACTGTAAACACGCCATGTAAATTTACCCTCTCACCCCTTTGGGGTTTCTATGTGTAACACGCATATATGCACCTGGACTGACTCCACTGACCCAATGAAGGGCGTAGCTGCAGAAGGAGGCTGTACAGCCCGCACGCTCCTATGAGCAGAGCTGGATGGCAGGCAGGGATAAAACAAAAATATCTGGCTGCAATCTAAAGAGGAAGGAAAATTATCCTAAATGTATTAAGTGCTCCAGAGCTGCACTTATTGCTATCAGAAACTTGTAATTTTATTTCCTCTAGTTTACCATGTTTTCAAGCACCAGTGAAAGGAATTCCTACACTCCATCCTCACTGCAGTGAAGCTTCGTAATGCAACTCACAGAAACACTTTGGCAGTTTTCCTCTGAACCCAGCCATATAATAAGGTGCTTTGACTTGAAATCCCAGGCCTTGTTCTCCTCTCTTGACTAATGACAATCTGTGAGGCTGTACAAACCCACGTGTAGCTGCCAGCCTGTTTTAATAAGAACGATAACAAGGCAGCATGATCCTACCAGCTCTGGTGGTGTTTGTGCCTGTTCCATTTGATCAGAACAGTTTTGTTGTGTCAGTCTAGTGTAAAGGATGTATTGTCACATAAAAGTGCAACTCTGAAAACACAGGTGGGGATGTATTTTGAAATACAACTGTTAGTCATGCCCTTCTTTGCTTAACTTAGTGCAGCAAAGAAAACAGCAGAGGTTTTCAAATATTTGCAGCTTTACTGTAAAAAAAACTGTTGGCTGTTCAACACAGTATTAACTACCAATATTATAATGACTTAAAAAAAACCCATGAGCAACCTTCTGGATTTACAGAAAAGGACGGACACAGCCACCTTTACTGTTGCTGTAGAACTCCCTGATTTTTCTCGAATAGGAGATCCCAAGACAGTGCTGTGGCACTACTCAGTGTTCGAGGTCGGCGGGAAGGGGTTCAGGTGTTGTAAGTTATTTCCACTGAAGCTCAACACACACGAGCTAGGAAATAATCCTCAGCCTTTCAGACAGTTACACATGCTGCTCCCTTCCTTTTGATAGCTCTGAAACAGCAAAATGAAACAGATCAACAAGGCAGAGATGACACAAGCAGCTGTTGTTCCACCTCTCATCTCCCTGGGCCACACTTCAGGAACAGCTGCTCAAGCACGTTGAAAGATTACAAAGGAGACCCCATGGCTGCTGACAAATAACATTGCCCTCCCCTTTTTCATAGAGAAAACTAATCAAAGTTCTCTTGATATTACATGAACCAAATAACTAGTTTGTAGGATCTGGAGTGATTTGTGTTTCAATGAAGCAGCCACTTGTACTAGGATTAAAGAAATAATCCCAGAAATCAAACACAAGAACTGTAAAAACAAAACAGTAGAAACCTCTATTACCAACGGTGTTAAAGGACAGCTCATTGCTTCCTTTTTTGCTTTAGCTAGATGCTGGCAAACGAGATTCATCTCTACATCCTTACATGTAAATTAAATGTAAGTCTGGGTAACAAATCTTTGTTACACTCCAGTTTGACTTGTGGTTTTACATAGGAATGCTACAACCAATTAATGATTTAGATAAGTATTTCCATTAAAACATATAAGCCTGTTTTTTAACTAAAAAATAATTAAACTTTTATTAAATACCATTATCTCCACGTAAGTTAAAAAAGCTCTAGCATTCTTTGTACCAATATGATTAACTGCTGATGTAACTGTCCTACATTTGTAGTGGGTGAAGGGCTCAGTTCTTTTCTACTTGGACTTTCACCGGTGCCATGTTGAACAGCTCTATTTCTAGCAATGGAAGGACGACGACAAATCAAATGATTCCCTGGGATGCTTTTTAATTAGTTAAGAAAAAGGCTAGAAGGCTAACCACGCTCTGTCAAACAGAGTACAAAATCTTTATTCACCAATAACTTAAGTGTTCTTATAAATAGATGTTCTAGTCTTTTGTACACTGTATCGATTATAAAGCTAAGCTTCAGTTATTCCTCAGACTCCGATCCTTCTTCATCTTGACTGATTTGGAAGTAGCGTAATTCGTATGTCTCTTTGTCAGATGCAACAACACGAAGCCAGTCACGCAGGTTGTTCTTCTTGAGGTACTTCTTTGTGAGGTATTTTAGGTACCTTAAAAACAGTAATTACACATCAGAACTTTGTCATGTAATAAGCCATACTGCTGTCTGCACTCCACCCAAGACATGGCTCTAGCAGGGCAACAACACACTACTTATATCCAGAAATAAAAAATTATCATATATAAAAAGTACATTTTCATTCCAGATATGCAAGAATTTATTATTTGATGCATTTTGACAACATAGCACAATGCCAGTAACTCAAAAGCATTGAGAAGTGGTTCTAAACCTTTGTCTAACACAATAGATGCTGGCTCATCTCTACCTGCAAAACGAAGGTGGGGATGCAGGGAAGGAACTGTACCTCTAATGTGCATACTTCACCTGCTGCATGCTCTAACATACTAAGCAGTTTAAGGCTTCATTTGACTTAAGGGGTTCTTTTGCAACAGCACGTATTGCATACACATACCTTTTAATACAACCAATTAAGTAATAAAACAGCCACCAATTACATGAATTCAGTATAACTTCTAAAAGCATCTCTTTCCTCTATATACTTCCAACAACCTATATAAAGCATCTCTGTATTACTATGCTTACAGAGGGAGCATTAATTTGTATTTTAAAAAGCAGTTTAAAAAAAAATCTAGTACTACCGGTTTGTTTGAATTGCTTCTTTCACTAAAATTTCTAAGTGCTATGAAGCTCAGCACTAACACCTTCTCTGGACATGTCAGAGGTGCGTCATGTACAACACATCACCGTTCAAAATCCAGTACTGCAAGTACAACAAAAGGAAACCTATGCCAACCTCTTAGAAAATTGCTTCTCGGACGTCACTGTGATCTTGTTCTTCAGACGTTCAATGTGAACGGTGTTGCCCAAGTTTCCAGTTTTTCCATTGACCTTAACCTTCTCCTTTAGGAACTGTTCCTGTTTCAACATTAAAAAAACAGAACACTAGGGAATGGCACCCTAGGTATGAACTAGGGAAGGGACCCTAGCCAAACAGCAATATTAAAAATCATCATTTACTTACATCCTGGTAGCAAATATTTACAATGCACTAAGATTTTAAAAATAATTGCAATTAAAAATACCACCCCATGCTAAAGCAGGATTCAATTTAAAATAGTTCTATTCATGGTTAGGTATGAACTGCCTCGTCTGTAAGACATCTAAACCCAAGAAACTTTCAAAAAGTGCCAACAATTTAAAGAACAGCTGTTCATTTTACTAATTTAAAACGTAACTCTTTAGAATGTAACTTTTCAGTTGTAATTCAGTTATCACACTGTACTAAGGCTTTTACTGCACTATGCACCAGAAATACGATCAAAACCACGACTTACAAAATTCCCAGAATCAAAAATTCCATCTTCCACAGGATGGGTCAAGTCAAGGCAAAACTTCCAGGTTGACTTTTTAGATTTTCTGTCCTTTTGCTAAAACACAAAAACCCCGAAACGTTAACAACAACGATCAACACGCAGAAAGCTTTTATTGGAGCGGAGAGAGCCACGGCGGAGGCCGGCCCCGCGGCGGCGTGTGGCGGGCGCCGGCC